CCTGATGATTCGCCTGCTGCGAGGCCCTCCTCTTCCACCAGCTTCCGACGAAGGCACCGACCACTTGTAGAAATCCAGCAGTTCACCTCACTGTCGCGGGAGCCTCCGTGTTGAGACGATGTTGAGGCCAACGGCCTGTCCAGTGGACCCAAGGCCAACATGCTCAGGCTTATTGAGAGCCGCCTCTTGGTGGGTCTGGGGGAGACATGGTAGACAGACATGGGAGAGTGGGTAGATCTGGATGGTTGTCAGTCTGTCGTGGTTGCAGGCGCACGTAGATTACAATTTTTTCGTTGCCAAGTGAAGTTGAAGGGATGGCCGAGCCAACGCCGCACTACGCTTCAACCCAACAAACCGACCTACTCCAGACCCTAAACTCCCCAAAGCACTGCACTTCTCAAAATTCACTCTTGCTCTGTTGGTTTCACATGCAGAACCCTGCTTTCTAAGGAATATCCGGGTACCTCACAGCGACCAAGTATGTGATGATCGTCTGCAACTGTCATCACGACAACTTGGCAGCAGTGTGCCAGCTTCTACCCGGCAAGAGATCACCGACAGTGACCGAGCTGAGCTTTGAGCCGCATCAGAGGAGTTGACGTTTTGGCTGTTTGGACTTTTCAGAACAGGAAGTTTGCAGAAGAAGCCCTGTTTCCAGCATCCCAGCCTCGTTCATCCAAGGAAAGAGGAGCACTGGCACTCTGTGTCTTCGTTGGTGAAGAACAGTGAGTCGAAACATGATTGCAAAATACAGAACACTAGCACAAACTGGAGGACTTCTGAAAACATGAATACCATTGGGCTGCAGCAGTTCTTCAGGAATCGCATCATGGATGAGCTTTCGAAGGCCGAGTAAACTGACTGCTGGGAAGTCTTTGCGAGTGCGCGTGTGAGCGACCGTCCATGGCCCATGGCTTGAGCAGGTTGGGGCGGAGGATATCTTGTGCCTCGCGCTGGGCAACACGCGGATGTGAATGAAACCAGTGGCTGTCGCCTGGTTGGAGACCAGTCGTGCCCGGCTGCTCGCAATTGCAAGTGGCAGCCGGAATTTTCGCTTCACCGTTGCATGTGTAACTCGACACCATCGTGATGTTTTGCGTACATTTGGTGTCTCTCTTGACCGCCATCAGCATCTGGACTCCACCGAACTTCCAGAAAGGGGAGTGCGGTTGGAAGAACTTGAGCCCAAGCAACAAGTTTTGTGAGCCATGATGCGTGCGTTCGGCTGCTGCGCTGGCCCTTCATCGGCAAGGGTGTGTATGCTCTGTATGCGGAAACGCTTATCGGCAGGAGAGAAAGAAGGGCAAGTGGTTCAAGCCAACGTCTGCGAATGACCTGCCGGCAGTTCTAATATTTACATTAAATCCTTAACCCTTAACCCTTAAACCCTAACACCTCAAGTCAGCAAAGAGTTGATCGAAGGCCCCTGATAGATGGTGGACGGGGCCTGACGACGGCTACTACTTTCAGAGGCAGCAGCCTTATGACTGTCCAACCTTGTGGTGGCACAGTACAAGGCAAGCAGTTCTTCTTACAATATTCTTCACCATTGTGAAGTGGTGATGAGGCTTCTGCATCACCTGGCAGCGTGTGGCAGGACTGATGAAGCTAGGCAGCTACTGCTGAGGTCGGGCTGGCTGTGAGTCACTGAGCCACAGTCAAAAAATCTCCGTGAAACAAACGCTTGTCTGAAAACGAGAGAGGTGGGAATGGCTTGCCGCCCGCCTTCGGCGACCTGGCGACGCGGTGAGTCTAGCAGCTTGGCACGCCAAGTGTGGCCCAAGGTCCAGTCAAGAGTTTATAGAGTTTCCCTTGAGCTTCGCGGGCTGCAGGTTGCTGATGTCCGAGCATTTGCCCCTTGTGGGACAATTCCACATTCGAGTGGCTCCGGTTGCTGGGCGTTCAATGTGGAATTAAGCGGGTGCGTAGATCCTCACACCCTGCCACGATCCGAAGAGGTCCCGTGGGCTCGGCCACCAGTGCGGCAACTGCGATGGGTACCCTGGCGATTCTTAGTGCCCATCAGGAGCGAAAGGCGCGCACTTTGCTTTGCGTGATTGATTGCCCATGTTGGCCAGGCACTTCCCAGCAGGCCAAGGCCACACGAGACAGCGGGAGAGAGAGAAAGAGAGAGAGCCGGGTCCCTACAGACCCTAAAGCGTCCCTCCAGCCCAGGACTAAGTAGGAAAAAACCGAAGTGAGAAGAAACCGTCACCCTTACAAAGGGACAGCCAGACCTAGATCCCATGCTTTAGCCCCGCCCCGAATTACGGCCCTTACCGGCTAAGGTGGCAAGTTTTTAGCCAGTTCAAAGGTTCTCGGAGATGGATTGATGCGCCCTCGGCCAGGATGGTTGGCCTCGGGCTGACGTAGATGGGCAAGTCTGGGTGGGTTTCCTCGAGTGGAGGTATCGCTCGGTTGCGCTAACCCGAAAGACTCAATTCTATCCAGAAGCCTTTCCACCCCTGCAACAAGCCACTGAAGCAGACCACCAACCCTCTTGGCTCCCAGCGTTCTCTTTTTCAGGTTTCGGCAGGTTGTAGGCTTCTTCCGTCATCACTACTTGCGACCCCAGTGGGCTGTCTCTGCAGGCTTGTAGGCATCACAGTGGCCACTTTCTTGCTGCTGGGAGTTTTGACCTTGTTGGTGATATCGTTCGCACTCATGGATGGTGGGACGGTCAGCTTGTGGTGATAGCGGATCTGCCGGGGTGGTATTTGAGTGTTCGATCTTTGCAGAGTCGAAGAAGAAGAGCTTTCCCCTTAGGCCCCCGCGAAAGAGAGAAAGAGAGCTTGGCCGTCGTGGCCGGGAACCTCTTTCGAGGGGTCCTCTCAATACTCAAGCGTGCAGAAGAAGAAGAAGAAGAAGCAGAAAGAAGGAGAAGACGAGAGGGTGGGACAGCACTTTTTGCTGTGGCAGGCAAGAGCTTCGGCGACTCGCAAGGCACCGACGAGGGGAAGTGCACAAATGTGCGGGATATGGGGGTTTGCGATATTCTACTATTTGGGGGTCTTTTTCCGGGAGCCAAATCTCTGCAGTTGCAGGCTGCAGCAAGCCCTGGCCCGGCGAAAGCCAAAGAAGCCTGGCGTGACATGAATATGCCAGGCAACAATGACACAGGTGCTCCAGAAACCAAACATTCTGCAATCCACTGATCCCAGGCCCGGCCGCAGAAGGAGACCTTGGAGGTCGCTGCTGGCGAGGCAACTTCTGGTAGTGACGAAAGATGACGAGAATGGGAGCTCCGGTGGCAACATGCAAGCGCGTGGGATAACAGGCTCCGAGCGTCTGGGAAGCGCTGCTCGAGGTGCTTGGGTTTCTCGAAATGCGTAGGCCCACAACTGAGGCTTTAGATGCCCTGTGCAGGTTCTCACTCTCAGCGCTCACATCTTGACGGAAGATGCGTCTCAACTAGCCTTCCAAGCCGCCGCCTTAAAACTTAGCAGCGTTTGGACATCCTGCATGAAGCAGAGCCTTCGGACCTCTGTGCTGGCTTCGAGGTGTTGGGAAGGCTCTTGGGATTTGAGGCGGCTGCAAGTAGCACGGGCCTCTGCAATCAGACGTGCTGTGCACTGTCACGTCTTGGCAAGCCGCATGAGCATAAAGTAGCATAAGCCTGTTTCTGTGCCTTGCTGCACGTACAGTAAGGGCATTCTGAGCAGGATCAGACGCGATGCATCGTGAGCATCAGCACCGACCAAGGCCCGCTGGCAGCTCTGCGCTCTGGTGCGCACATGGCTCTGAAGGACAGGGTCTCAGGTTTCCAAGCCATCTCCGCTGTTCTCCGTTGGAAATTCTGAGCCTGATCATGACCGCAGCCCCACATCTTACATGTGCAGTGCATGATGGCAAAGAGACAGACGTTTTTGGCCACACTTCCGCCACCTTTCCTCATGCAGGCTTCAGGGCGCACATGGGCCGAAGTGGGTTGCTGGGAAGGACGGCGTCTACTCGCTGCCCGCCTCTGCTGTGGTCCCCAAATGGCGTTGCAGTGCTTGCCCGGTCTGGTTCTCAACCTGACCCAACATGCAGAAGTAGTGTGTGGCTCACCTGACTCGAGAGTTGCCTCTGAGGTGTCCCACAAGAGTCTGCAAGGACCCGGGCGCAGGCACTGGGGTGTGTGCGTGTGAGTCGCTCTGAGCACGCATTTCGAGGAGTTGGCGGGCCTCTGCAGAGGACGCTACAGCTGCACAAAGACTGGGCCCGAAGCTCATGATGTCAAAGATGTGTCGTTGACATTCGTTGACATAACAGGCTTTGACATTCTTCAGCATTCTTTGACATACCCTGATCGGTTTGCAGCGTCCGAGGTTCGGTGCGTGGCCTTGAACCAGGTAGGGACGTTGATGGCAAGCGCATCGAACGACCTCTCAGTCAAGGTCTGGGACCTGACGCAGGACTGCCGGATGCTGCTGGAGCTTCTGGGCCATGAGACTGCAGTGCTAACAGTGGATCTGAAAGCAGACCTCGTGGTGTCTGGGGACAAGGATGAGGTCATTCTTTGGAGCTTGACAGATGGCAGCCTTCTGAGACGAAGGTCGGGCTTCGCTGGGAACTTGAGCGTGGTACAGTTTCTCGGCGAGGGCCATGTGGCGGTGGCATCCGGAACGGACGTGGAGCTATTACTATCCAGCAGTTCCACGTTGCAGGGTAAGATCGCCTGCAGCCATGAGGCCAGAGTTGCCGCCATCCACTCCAGCGCAGTCCCGGGTGGTTCACCTGGAGAGTTCCTGCTTGCCTGTGGCTGCGACGACCGGCACGCGGCACTATGGAGGCTGAGCCTTCAGGAGGCCAAGCGCAAGAAGACCCCTGCAGCGGCCGCGGCAGCGGCGGCATCTGAGTTCAGCGCCCAGCTGATCAATCGCTTTATCGTTGGAGACCAGGACGTGAGAGCTGTGAGCTTGAGCGCTGCAGGAAGTCTGCTGGCCTGTGGGAATGACGATGGCATCCTCCGGATTTGGAGCATCACCGCTGAGAAAAAAGATGGGAAAGCCGGGCTTTCCTGCAACATGCTGTGCGCGGCACCTGGGATGCACACGGATTGGATCCACTCCGTGAGCATCTCTCATGACGGCTCATACGTGGCTTGTGGATCGGATGACAACTCCATCTCTCTCTTCGATGTGGCAAAGCAGCGTATGGCAGGACAAGTCCGGATCTTCTCAGGTGCATTCTCTGTGGTGCTGTCACCAGACCTGAAGTCACTGTACTCAGCAAGCGGCGACATCCGTGTCTGGAGCGTTCCCAAAATCATTCAGACTCACCATTTGAATGCTACTGGTCCAGATAAGCATTCCTACATTGTGACTGGAGTTGCAGTGTCTGTTGATGGTCGCCAGGCGGTGTCTGTGTCTTCAGATGTTACGTCCGGCAAGACAAATGGTGGTCTTCAGATCGGCCTTTGGGACACTTCAACCGGCTCCCAGACCAAATTCTTCAAAGTGCCCGGGTCCGTGGATGACGATGACAGGCCACTGTGCTCATCGATGAGCCCGGATGCTACAATGGCTGCTGTAGGATGTGACACCGGCAAGCTTTGGATCATCAGCCTGACAGAGCCCTTTGACGTTGTTTGGGTGGAGCCAGAGGCTCATAGTGAGCGCATCTACTGTTGCGAGTGGCTGGAGCAGGACTGCCTGGCCACTGGCAGCGAAGATGGTAGTGTAGCTTTGTGGTCCGTCATGCACAAGGTCTGCACTGCTACTGCAAAGCCGTATGATGCGGGCGTCCGGTGCTTTGCTTGGACCCAAGATCGGCAAAGGGTCCTGTGCGGCTGCGACTACCAGGCGCCACGACTGGTGTGGGTTGGAGAGAAGGGATCGGATGGCCACGTACTTGCAGAATTCAAGGACGTTGTCCGACAGGAGCTGACCGTCATCACACCCTGCAGCATTTCCCTCAGCTCGGATGACCGGCGAGCAGTCACCACAAGTTGGGACAAGGCCCTGCGCAGCAGGTCTTTGTGCTTTGTTTTTGTCCTCTGAAACAGCAACTTGTTTTTCCCATTTTTTAGAGACGCCCCCCCCCCCCCCCCCCCAACAGCTTGAGTCAAGTCGAGACAGCAACTTACGCATGAGACTCGCTAGGCGCTGCGTGTGTGGGAGTTGGAGTCCGGGCAACTCCTGCTGGCTGTGACCCAGGCACCTTCGCCGCAAGCTCTTGGGGTACAACCGGTAACGTCTGAAGGGAACCTCTACACTTCTTTAAGCACCTTTCAGGATGCCATCCGCAGCATGAACTGGCTCTTGAGCTTCTACGGCGTGTGCTCGTGTGCTACTGCAGGTCTCGGACTGGGTGGTGAAAGGCTTCGGAGCCACTTTGGCAGGCACGGTGGAGAATTCATCATGCAAGCCCAAGTCAGTTCATCTGCAACCTGATCAGTCTGCTATCGAGGGTCAGGCAGATCAGGCAGGTATTGTCTTGCATGAACTCACGAACCAGGTGACCTGGCGGGACTTTGCGTGTTGATCTCAGACTGCCCTCCGCAAAATCCATGGAAACTGTGCACCATGAGCCCGTCGCCTCTCTCAGTGCAACCCTTGAGGTTTCCTACTCCTGGGATCGGCAGCTGCAACTATGGGATTTCACGGACGTGCTCAGTGCTGCTGGCATGAGTTCAAACCGCAGAAGTCACCAACGTGCGACTCGTGAATACTCGTGAGACGTCGTCTGCATGACACTGCCAGGCAGCAAAGTCAAAGAGTCGACGGACCCTGTGGTCGTAACGTCGCAGGAGTCCTTTCACAGGCTTTGCACGTGCCAGTGTCTCGGCCCCAGATCCTTGATCACGACCGCAGGCACCGGCCACGTCCTAATGAACACCCGATGTCGAGCCTGGCTGTAGGTGACGCCTCCTTAGTGCACATGGCCTGCGCACCACGCTGGCGTGACGATGTCAGGCCATTTCCAGCATCCTCAAAGTCCCCAAATCGAGAGTCGTAGAGAGGAGCATCAGAAGCACCCCTCCTGGCTGTGCAGGCGAAGCTTGGTATTCACGGATGAGGACGGCGGGGTCCACTTCTTTGAGGCACACATGTGGGTCTTTGCATCGAGAGAGCATATGGTGCTGCTGCTCAGTGCAGGTGGAGCTACGGCAAGCCTCCGGGCAAGCCACGTGAGGTGCCTGATGGACTCCCCGGCCTCTATTTCTGGCATTTGCCTCCCTGGTGAAGGGATGTCGGGTTTTGTCGAAAGCTCAGCCTCTTGCTTTCGAAGTCGCGGCCTGAGGGCTTCGTGCCGAGCACGGGGGCAAGATGATCGCGATGAGGAGAGATGAGGAGATCGGCTACGACTTCGAATGCAAGGGGGTTGGCTTTCGACATCTTTCGACGAAACCACGACGTGCGAACACTCGGCTTGTGGCCACCAAGCCAGGAGAGCGTGAGGCCAGACAACACTTGGGAAGCGCAACAACAACACGTGCGCACGCCATCCCCAGCAAGCAGTCTCGATGCCATCGCCTGTTTTGATCAGGTGCTTCCAGGGGTAGGTTGGATTCGTGCTGCTTCTAGCATGTGCATGCACATGCAAGGACGTCGATCAGGAAAAACAAAATGTGGCACATTGCCTGGAGCTCTGTGCTCGGGTATGGAGTGCCTGCAGTGTGCACACGAAGAGGCACCTCGTCCACTTGCGGGCGGTTGCCTTGACCAGCTCTTTGCATGGAGAAGCACTCAGAGCTCAACGCTGAGTTTTTCAAGCATGTTTCAGGACGCCATTCTCCCAGAAGAGAGCTTCCAGCATGGAGTCGGTGGTTGTGGGCACTGGGATGACAGGCGAGCTGAACAAGGTCCATCTTTGACATCTTCAGCTCACTCTTCGCTGGAAACAACTGAAGCGGGCAGTGGCTTGCAACAAGGAGAGGCGCAAGCTTCCGTGAAGGAGGCGGCAGCCCAGCAAACATCTCATACCTCAAAGGGAGTGGGCGCCACGGGGTCCGTGGAGCCGATATGGCAGAGCAGTGGTTGGAGCAAAACGTGATCGTGCCCACCTTTGTGCTGCGACCAGCATCTCTGCACATTCCCGGCCAACTCGCCTAAATCACTCAGCGGACACAGATTGCACGTGCCCGAGTGGGCATCCCTGCATCTTGCAGTTATCTTGCAGCTCAAGCCCGCTCACGAATGCTGAGCAAGTTGTGCCAGGTGTGTTTCCGATTATTTAAGCGGTTGTGCAGAAGAGTGCCGCGCAAAGCTGCCCCACTCCGCCCTACACCCACAACCCCTTCATCCGCACGACGTTGATGGTTGCGACCGGATGATTCCTGATGGTGCCGTATGGCCACCACATGCCAATATGCTGCAGGCGCGAAGATGATCTCTCTCTCTCTCTCTCTCTCTCTCTCTCTCACTCACTCTCTCACTCTCTCACTCTCTCACTCTCTCACTCTCTCACTCTCACTCACTCACTCACTCTCTCTCTCTCTCTCTCTGTACTAGCACAAGCAAATTGCATCGCTTCTGCTGGAGTGGCACCTTAAATCACGAGGCCATTCCGGAGACGGTCCAGAGGCCACAGCTCCTGGATTCTGTGTTGTGTGTTAGGGCTTTGCACCTTTCGTTCGCGGACGTTCATGATCATCTCCACAAGATGGAGGTTGAGGAGGCTTCTGCCTCGAGCAAGACGACTTCCAACATGACCAGGTAGTGCAATGTGCCCTTGCTTGCACGTGTATGAGCTCTGTTCATTTTCAGAGTGCTGACCCTTCTGCAGGTGCTGATGCGCATGACGCAGGCTCCTCGCTCTGTAGGTATGTTGGGCGCAAGCACCACGCGAAAGCTCGCCGCGCGATTTTCGCACCATGCTGCAGTGCTTGCCATGATTCCACGCAAACTCACACAAGGCACCAAGACGGCAGAGGCAGATGCTGGGCCGGAGGTCTCGAGAAGGCTATGAGTCCCTTCATGAGCCGTGGCCTTGGCCCACATACTGGGACTCCACAGCTGTAGGGCCACCGTTTCTGTCGCAGAGTTGGTTGCAGAATGTCTTCTTTGAATGAGGCCAGCAGTGGGCGAAGGTCTGCCAGCTCTGTTGGCAAGTCCAGGATAGCATTTACTGGTGCACTAGCTTGAGCTTCAGGGGTCATCCGTCAATCCGGGTAACAACCGTCAGCAGTTTCGCAGTGCGGAGAAATGCGGAGAGCAACCCAACTCTGTGAGCGCGACTGACGAGCTGGAGACTGCGAGTGAAGAGCAAGAACCTTGACGACGAGCCTTGCAGCACAAGAAGCACAGGGGTACAATACTCTTCACTCCGCACGAACCTGGCAAGCTTGTAGCACCTCGACTCGCCAGCACGGGAAGTCGAAGTTTGGTGTGTGCCAGGCATCCATCGCAGAAAGACTGCCGCTGGAAAGTTCGAAGGTTCAGCAGGCCGCTTTAGCAAGTGGACTTCAAAAAGCGTAGGCTGCGCCAATCTCTCAATATCCCAATGGCACCTGAGCAGGCGATGGCAGCACCACGTTCACTCTCGTGGACAGCGATGCTGGGACTTCTCGAGGCCCCCCCTGCCTTCTCGAGCCACCATCCGCGCCTCCGATGCGGCTGCAAGGTTCAGAAGTCTTCAAGACAGGCAGAGGCCTGGACCTAGATGCTTCCTTTCACAGAGTTTCCTGCATGAACGGGACCCGGCAGGACAGGAAAACGTATGGCATGGCGGAGCGCTCGGTTGAATTTCAGTGGGATACGCTGGGAGGTGAGTTCTGAAGCTTGCCGAGGTCATGGCAGCATGCGCCAGGCTTCAGCGCTGGCGCGCGGTTGAAGCCTCACATGAGACAACGTCGAGCAAAGGCTGCTCTCTCTCTCCAGTTGCTGAGGTTGCGCGTGTGCTGGCTGACTTGCAGGTGCGATGGGCTACAGAGTTTCGGCCGACTTGCAAAGACGACCCTTGAAACCTTTGCAGGTATCTGGCATGAGGCTCGACGCCGTGGTAGTGGGTTCATTGGTCGATGCTTACAAGGAGGCTCGCATGTGGATGCTGTTGACCCCTTGCTGGGCACAACTGGACACCCTGTTCTGTGGAAAAAGGTTGGCATGTGGCGCCGTGCCGCACAGGACTCGCAACTTGGAGTTTTGTGCACCTGTGTGCGGAGCCCCCGCAATGGAGTCAAGAGAGGCATGTCTCAATTCTCAGGCCCTGCGGAGCTCCTCCAGTCATGGGCTGGAGCAAAGCATCATCTCCCACAATGCTTCGGGCTTACTTGTATCCCTTGCCCCGATGGGATCACATGTGGAGGTGCTGCAAGTGAGATGTTCAAGTGTTCAAGCGTTGGTCCGTTTGGGCTTGCTGTTTTTTGTGCATCGCTGCTGGGAAGGCCCTGCTCAGTGCCATGGGACGGTCCGCGCAGTGGCAGACAGGGATTGTCCTGCAGGCGGGAATGCCATGTCCAACGAGATCCCTTCTCGCACTGCACCGACCGTAGCTTAGGGACCCTATAAATTGTGATGTCCCCCCTTAGAATCCGCTATACTAGCAGTCCTGAATGGGGATTATAATTGGGGGGGGTACTGGCTCCTGACACTCTCCCTCAAGGCCAGCATGGCTCGCTCCGGCTTCCTGACCTGCGATGTGGCGAGGTGCTTGGCTTTTATCCAGCTTCATCCCTGGGGTGGCTGCGGCGAGTATAATTGGCAACCTGCTCAAGAATATGCACTGCTAGGAATGAAATGTGACACAGAAGGGCTGTTCTCTTGTTGTCAGGTGTGTTTGTCCCACCCCTGGTGTGGGGTTGTACGATTTGAACTCAGCTATGCTCCTCGACCCGGTCGCCTAGCTTGGCTCTGTGGAGTACCCTCAGAGAATCCCACAGACCCACAGAACGTCGCTGGATGTAGTGCCCACCCGCGAAAACTCCTGCAGAGACTCCCACTGAGTATCCGGGAGCGGCCAGTCCCACCACAGAATCCTTCAAAGTGTATTCTTGGAGTGCCCGCCCCAGAGACTCCCGCAGAGCCACAGAGTATATCCCTGGCTGGAGCGACTACCCGGAACATCCCGTGGAGCAAAGTAGACGGCCTTAAACAGGATCCGCTGGAGGGGTCCTCTTGGGGGATCGTCCAAAGAGGCCCCTTGGGATTTTATCACGGACGCTCCGCAAAGAATCCTGCAGAGAACACCTTGAGTGCCTACCGCCAGAGAAGCAACATTTTTTGGGGTGGGTGGGTGGGGGTCGAGGGGGGTGGGCAAGCGGCCCAGGAGGGCGAGGAGAGGGCGGGGGTTCTCTTGTGTATGTTCTCTGTCTCTCGTTTTCTCTCAGTCTGTCTTGCTGTCTTGCTGTCTTGCTGTCTCTGTGTCTCTGTAAGTCTCTCTCTCTCTCTCTCTCTGTCTCTGTCTCTGTCTCCGTCTCCGTCTCCGTCTCTGTCTCTGTCTCTGTCTCTGTCTCTGTCTCTCTCTCTCTCTCTCTCTCTGTCTCTCTCTCTCTCTCTCTCTCTCTCTCTCTCTCTCTCTTGCTCGCTGGAAGGAAGCGCAGCCTCTCTGTTTCCCCCAGCCAACTCTCTATGGAGGCTTAGGACCTTTTCTTGTTAGCTTGCTTGGAAGGTAACATACAATGCAGCGATCACCTCCTGCATGAACGGCCGCCCAGCTGTGACATTCTGGCCGATTGGCCATGAAACTCCACTGCTTGGTCTGCTGAGTCAGGCAAGCAAGCACACCGGGCTCTACGCATTCTGCCCGAGATGAAGGACAGCACTGTGAATTTCAAGAACTGTCTGTTTGGGCAAGCACGCTTACTCGCACATCTGCATGCAAACAGGTTGTGACTTAGCAACCCAAAACGGCCTAGTGCTACGTACTGCTACTGCGACTGCTACACCACCACTACCGCTACCACCATGACGACTACGACGACGACTTGTACGAGTAGAAGTAGCAGTAGTAGCAGTAGTAGCAGTAGTAGCAGTAGTAGCAGTAGTAGCAGTAGTAGCAATAGTAGCAGTAGTAGCAGTAGTAGCAGTAGTAGCAGTAGTAGCAGTAGTAGCAGCAGTAGCAGTAGCAGTAGCAGTAGTAGTTGTAGGAGTAGTAGCAGTAGTAGTAGTAGTACTACTACTACTACTACTACTACTACTACTTCTACTACTATTACTTCTTCTACTACTACTGCTGCTACTACTACTACTACGAGTACTAGTACTAGTACTAGTACTAGTACTAGTACTAGTACTAGTACTAGTACTAGTACTACTACTACTACTACTACTACTACTACTACTACTACTACTACTACTACTACTACTACTACTACTACTACTACTACTACTACTACTACTACTACTACTACTACTACTACTACTACTAGTACTAGTACTAGTACTAGTACTACTACTACTACTACTACTACTACTACTACTACTACTACTACTACTACTACTACTACTACTACTACTAGACCCTCCTCCTTGGGGAGACTGTGTAGTAGTGATCAGCTTGCAGGAGTTGCGGGTCGAGCCCGACTACGCATCGCCCTGGGATGCCTGCCTCCATAAACAGAAAGGTGTGCACTCCAATCGGTGGGCCAAGGTGACCTTTGCAAGCACGATCCTCGCGTGCAAGACGGCAGCTCAGCATCCTGAGTCGAGGGGGTTAAGGTTTCGAGTCAACTGACGGTGTGGGCCATAGATAGCCGCATATGTCAACTAAAGCAGAAGGGTACCTACAGTGTCCAGCAGATGAAGCGGCTCGTGTTCTTCTTTGATCATCTCAGAGTTGCCTCGCCATCATAATCAGCCGTACTACAAGTATGAAAGCACGAACTGCCACAGCACCGGAATCTGCCTTGTGGCTCAGCGATTCTTTCCCAAACCTCCCGCCTCTTAATTCGAGAACAGAACACTTATGTAAACTAAAGAGTCTCTCAGAATGGTTGGGGTATCCTCGGCATAGGGTCGGAAATCAGGGGTCTCACCAGAAACAAACTTGAAGAGACTTGGGGATGTTTTCCACCGCTCGTCTTGCGCTGAGTGCAAGGATGGTCTCGACTTGGCAGACTGCACTGGCCTGCCTGCAGGCAAGACCTGTTACCACCGTCACGACAACAGCTCGTGCTTGGCACTTCATCTGCGCCCGAGGAAATTGAGGATCAAAACGCTGCTTGCCAAGATTCGAGGGTTCTTGGCTCACGACTGAGCACTGGAAGCAGTATCATGCAGCGCAAGATGGCGAAAACGGATTTTGTTTGCAGTGTAGTCCAGGCGCGGTCATGGCAACGTGCTCAAAGGCCAAGCGGTGGGAACGAGCCTTGGAGCTGTGCTAGGCTCGGTCTGCCAAGCTTCGCTTGAACCGGAGTCTGTCCGTGCCCTGGTCCGAGACTGGACGCGCTGAATACGGACGAGCGACCTCTTGACCTTGTGTGCGCTACTTGCGGAGGGTCACATGTGTGCAGATTATGGATTCGGGCATGTCGCTCGGTTGGCCTGACTGGTCTGAGGTTGTGCAACACAGGGATGGCGGCATGTGCATCAGGAAGGTCCTGGAGACAAGCACTTGGTTTGCTTCAAAGGCTGGCTATGAACAGCATGGGCACGTCCTTCCACCAAACCGAAGCACACCCCGTGCAGCTGTGCGCAGCGGTGCGCAGGCTCGGAGGAGATGGTTGTAGATCGGATGCGCCTCCCTCAGACTACTGAGCTTCGCTTACTGAGGCAGTCCAGTTCCAAAGTAGTCAGTCGAAGCGAGAACGGGCAAAGCATCAGGTAATCTCCGTGAACACCTGCCTGACGGCCTGTGAAAGGGCAGACCACTGGCAGGCCAATGGCAGTTTGCGCGCTTCAGAATTCAAAGCGAAGTTATGCTCGTTCTGTATAATGTGGCAGGCTGCATGTGAGCTCCTGTCCCACGCACATCGCCCCGGTCTGAGATTTTTTTCGCCAGTCCTGTCTGCGTTCTAAATGTTACTGTTGGAGCCGGGAGACTTGCTGACTCCACCGTGAATGAGGCCGAGCGCAGCGCCTCGATTCCGTCACTTTTGCTGCCGGCGCTGCTGCCTGCGGTGCGCGAAACTGTTGATTCCGACGACTGTGGGTTTCTCTCAATTCCAGCATCAGCTATGCAGAGAAGCAGAGAGAGAGAGAGAGAGAGAGAGAGAGAGATAGCTGCACAAACACGAGCGCAGGTGCCGGCGCTGGGTCTGCGCGGTGGGCTTTGGCCATGAGAATGGTTGCAGCCTGTCAAGAGCGAGGCCTGAAGCGATTCCTCGCGGTTCTACCCATCATTGCCCATCCAGATCTGCATTTTCGCACATGGATATTTCCCAAATAGGAGTACCCCTTTATCCCTCAAGTAGCATAGACTCCCCTTAAAGGGACCCCCAAAAAAAAGGGTACCCCTTTTTTCGGAAACCCCCAACACGTCGGAGGCTTGCGGGCCAGCGTGGAGGCCCTTGGCGCAGTACTGGCAGCGCTGTCCGGCCTGAGCGTCGTCGGCGCAAGAGAAGCCCACACCTCAGGCATCTTAGGCATCTTAGGCTTGGAGGTTTCTGGCACTTATTAGCCAATTATAAAAGTACTTTTTACCCACTGATGAGCCCCTTAAGTGCTCGAATATGGTTATAAGTTCAGTTGTAAGTACAGATAACTTATTGGTTCATAAGGACAATGAACCTCCAAATACTGCCAGCACTTGAAACAGCAAGACCAACGACAAAGAGGAGAGAGGGGTTTGATCTAGATGCAAGGTGTCCCGTCCTTTGCCTGTAAGATGATACAAGTAATGACTCGGTTGCTTTTTTCGAGCATTTCGCAGCATGTGAAGCTCTTGCCTGGAACCACTCTTTCTTTGCTGTCAGTCCAAGGATAGCAATCGCTGGGTCAGGGCTCTTCAACTACAATCTGCCAGAGCCCCGGCAAGTCCAGTCTAAACCAGCCTGCGCGGTGCATTGTGTGCGGTCGCGTAGGGCAAGGGGGTGATCACTAGTAGTATTGTTTTTTTGTGGTTTCCGTGGCATAAAGAAGGATGGACTGGATGACAGACTTGTAGACTCTCAATTTCTAAGAACGGGGGCAGAAAGCTATGCCCAGTGAGCACACGCAGCGATTTAGAAGCCGCAATCGCCTGAGAGATTCGATATCTTAAATGCTTACTATTTATAATTTTCCTGGGGAGGAGGGGCATTTTGGGCAGCCCAGGCCTCCTCGAGAAAGATGTGGCATCTGAGCCCAGATTTGTCATTGCACCTATTTTCACTGCTTGCATATGAGACGTCGATCTCGTTCGTTAAGGCAAGACTCGAAGACCTGGAGCATTGCGCTGCAAGTTTGCCGAGATGCTGCAAGTGCTGGGGCTGATGGCATGCAGTCGAAGGTGCGCATGTCGGTGTTTCCTTGTGTTTCTGTGGTGGCATGCGAGGAAGGCATGCTCAATGCTAGTGGAGCAGAGCTCTGAGCACAGGCACTGGGCCTTCTGGTGCTACTGGGAGAGGCGAGATGCCCCTAGTTTCGTTCATGTCGCATCAGGTCGCGATTGTAGAACCTGCAAGAACTCCATGAAGTGGATGCTTCTCAGCCCCATAAAGGGAGAGTGCTTCGCACCTCTTTTGTATGGGACAAGTTAAGCGCAAGGGGTAGACTGCAAAGCCCAGACAAGAACCGCATCATGTCTTAAATAGATTGCTGGGCGTGAGGGGCTTCTGACGCTGCGCATTTTCAGTCCCAGTCCCTTCAGACTTTGCCCCGATCCACTTCGCAGGAAGCTGATGCGACCGCGCTCTGCATAGCCTCTTGCTTGGTTTTGCCGAGTTTGCCGGGCGAGGGGATGTGAGATGTGGGAGACTGGGAAGATGCATGAACAAAGTGAGTTGGGGTGATCAACAGGTCCTTGACACCTTGGAGCTGGCCCAAGAAAACCAAGGTCAGTTAGCATGAGGCTCTGTTGTCAACGGAGCGCTTGCAGTCTCGGCAGGCACATCGGCGCTGTTGACCCGAGCTTGCAGCGCCTTGCTCAGTCAGTTCGGCATGTCTTTGAGGATGTTTTTGTGCACTTCGGGAACTCCCAGAGGTGCTGGTTTCCAGCTGCTCCAAAAGCACATGCACCAGGCTCCTGGAGGATCCTCCCCAGGGCCGAATTTTTGTCTGCAACGGCTTCTGCAGGCCGGTTCGATCCCTTCGAATGGCCAGCGTTCTGACGTAGACGCGCACTTAGTGTGTGGTTGTGTCAAGAGGCTTACCTGGATTTGTGTGTGTGTGAGAGACCGAAATTTCACGGCAGAGAAGGTCATCACCATGGACACCCTCTCGCTTTGGCACCGACTGCCTGGTGCACTGCAGGCCATGAAGCAGGCTCAGGCACTCGAAGGCAAAAGACGGAGTTGCTTCCGGCCAGGCGGCTTTCCACCGAGCTGTGGCTGCTCCGGTTGTGGCAAGGCCCTCCTCGGCATCTTTGTGTGCCAAGTCCCGCCCTCATGCCGCGCAAAGGCAAGCCGACAACACTCAAACAACACTCAGCAAACAAAAACAAACAAACAAAGAAACAAAACAAGCAAGCAAGCAAGCAAACACACACGAACCAACAAGCACACACGAGCAAACAAAAGCAAACACAAACAAACAAAAACAAACACAAACAAAGCACAAACAAGCACAAAGAAACACAAAGGAACACAAGAAACATAAACAAGAACGAAAAATTACGATCAAACACACAAAAGCAAACAAAAAAAACAAACACAACAAAACAAAAACAAAGAAGCAGACAACACACCACGCAACTAATCAAACACACAAACACACAATCACACATACGCACAAACGCACGCACGCACGCACGCACGCACGCACACACGCACGCACGCACGCACGCACGCACGCACGCACCCACCTACACACACACACACACACCCACACCCACACCCACACCCACACCCACACCCACACCCACACCCCACACCCACACCCACACCCACACACACACCCACACCCACCACACACACACACACCCACACACACACACACACACACACACACACACACACACACACACACACACACACACACACACACACACACACACACACACACACACACACACACACACACACACAAACACAAACACAAACACAAACACAAACACAAACACAAACACAAACACAACCGCAAGCGCAAACATGACAAAATGTGGACATAGCGAACCACGTCCGCCATGATTGAGCCTTGAACTTCTTGATGGCTCTGATTGCCCTCTCCGGGCAGGCTCAGCCGATTGCTTCATGCTCGCATGGGGCCTGTGCCTCACCACTGGTGTACCACGGTGCACCCTACCAAATTTTAGTTCAAGAGGTTCAGGGTTTCGCTCGGGAGCTAGATGCCTTCCAGAATTTCCCGTGACTCTTCCAAAAGGCTGCAGATTGAACAGCTGGAAGCGCAGCCGATGCTGGGATGTGCGGCAACGATGCAGGCGCCAAAAGTTATGAGCCTTTCCGGCCTCTCAACTCAACTGCCTTCAGTAGCAGTCTGGCAGGCTTTGGGCCAGGGCGACCTAGGGGTGCAGGTGCCCGAGCCTCCTAGTTGGAGGTATTTTGGGGTATAGGGTTTAGGGTTTAGGGTTTAGGGTTTAGGGTTTAGGGTTTAGGGTTTAGGGTGCAAGTCCTGAAGGTTGCAGAATGGGCTCCGACAAGCTGGAGGCGGTACTTGAGCAGGCGATGCATGGCTGCCAGAGCCTCAAAGAGCATGTTGCTCGGTTGCTCCGCTCTGAAACAACACCTGTTGCTACGTGTATCTACTGGGTTAAGTAAAGTATCTACAGGCTGCCACAGGAGGATGTTTGTCGTTTGTTCCCGCCACTGCCATTGACAGGTGGCGCTGGCATCAAGTTGCTATAAATACTTACCCATGACACTGACATGTATGTGGTGGATTTTCACACGCCACCGTCCAAGATAGGGAACATTTGAAAACGCTGCATACGTGGTCTGAGCTTGTGGTGGTCATGGTCAAGGCGAGTTGCTGACCACGCTCTGATGGCCTTTCGGTTTCTTTGACCAGAGCACTCACAAAGCAGTCGATCAAGCCAGCGGTTTTAAGGTACATGCGCGAATGAGAAGTGGGTATTGTTTGAGCAGCCCAGGACTGGAAGACCCAGCCGGCACATGATGCAGTCGCTGCGGCTTGAAGCCCGGGAATGTCTGGGAGCACTTCATCGAATGTATGGCACGGGCTGCCAAGGCCCTGGCCGTGTGTCTTGCCTACAGCGTGCCGGCAGTCGAGGAGCATATAGTAACATATTAACAAACAAATACCACTAACAATCATAGCAACAATCATAATAAGAAGAAGAATAATTCTAATACCAATAAGAAGAATAATTCTAATAATAATAATAAGAGTACTATGTAAAGTGCACAGCAAAACGGCGGCCCGGCACGGTGTGATGCAATGCGACCGGCCAGGAGCTGGGGACGTGCTCTGGTCGCGTAGTTGGCTACAAAGCGGAGAGCGGAGGAGGACACTCAATGAGAACCCCTTTACATCCCCCTTAAATCCCTAAACCCTAAACCCTAAACCCTAAACCCTAAACCCTAAACCCTAAACCCTAAACCCTCCTCAGCAGTCAGGGCAAAAGAGGCTGTCGACTTCTTGCTTTCTGTGGCCGTGAGGAGCTGCTGGGCCTTTGGCCGCCGTGAGGGTTCAGCATGATCGTTCTCAGCATGGAGAGCGCCAGGCGAGAACATGTCAAGGGTTTAGGGTGTAGGGTTTAGGGTTTAGGGTTTAGGGTTTAGGGTTTAGGGAATGTAAACGGCTTCCCAAGAAAAATCACTCGTGGCAAGAATGGTTGAAAGACAGCAGCACGGGATCTACAGCTTGGATGTACGAAGCCGGACGTCGTGAAGTGCTAATAAAGCAAGGCTGTTCGCAGGGTTCTGAATCTTTAGGGTTTGAGGATTTTTGAGAATGTTGGAGGATTGTAAAGTTCAGGGAAGGTCATGGCTTCCAGCTCAAGCTTAACTGCCCTTCCTGTCCAATCTTGAACTGGCGTAGGGATGTTGCTGTCCATGCCGATCCAGTCTTGCAGAGGCGCTTTTGATGGTCATTGCGGCGACGACGCTGACTCCACGTGCTTCCCCCCGTGACAAAATGCCAGCAAAAGCTTCAGATTCACTCAGGCACTGCAGGGGGAAACCTTTGGGCAAGCCATTTCGAAGCTCCTCAGGGCTGCAGTACGAAGTTTACAGAAGGCAATGCCCACCGATTTCCATGATTAATTTTGAAGCCTTACTTGCAGCACCAGCTGACTCACTGCAGACTGCCGCTCCGCAAGCAACCCCAGCATTCAGAGCACTTCCGTGCATACTGCCAGACTACATCTCGTCGAAAAGACAGCATCGCTTCAAATTGTCACTGAGTTTAGCACGGGCTGATGGCGAGCCATGGAGCCCAGCAACGACGAGATGCGGCGGATACAAGAGCAGCCACATGGCATGGATGGATTGCCGTGCATCCTGCATGAGCCATGAGCCAGGAGTGGGTATGCAGGATGTCGCACGTAAGACCGTAGCTGTCGGTACCTCGGCAGCTCCTGACTCTCGAGCCACCGCCGAAGTTCCACTTAAAGATCTCAAAACACCAAGCTGCCCAAGCAACCAAAGCTCTGAAAGCTGCGGTCACTTCGCACCAGAGGTTTGCCATGCTGGATTTCAATGGCTCCGGCGACTGGGCCACATGAGCACATGCCACGTGTTATACATATATATATCTATATATACATGTGTATATATATATGTACATGTATATATATATATATATATATATTTATTTATTTATTTATTTATATGTGTATATATATATATATACACATGCATGTGTATGTATGTTTGTTTTAAACTATTCATATTTAATCTACATGTGCAATGTCTTGCCAGGCCAGGGCTGCATCGTGCTTGGGTCTGAAGTAGAGGCTCTTCGGGGGTTGTTAAGGGTTCCGGAGATGGCATTTGCGGAGGCTTTTCAGAAGCCGGAGGGGTTTAGGGTTTCGGGTTTAGGGTTAAGGGTTTCGGGGTGAAAGACGGCCCTTGGGCTCTCCAAGGCAAGATCGAACGGGAGGAGCTGCAGGAGCTGCTGACCTTCCTTGGGCTGGCAGGGGTCTCGGTCGGCTCTTGCGATTCCCAATTCCTTTGTCTGCGTGGGGTTCTCTATACCTCTCCTTATATACTCTCCTTGTACACTCCCCTTGAACCCTTCTGAAACCCCCTTCTACCCCCCTTATGCCCCCTTTAAACCCTTCTTATATCCCCCCCCTTCTACCTCCGTTATCCCCAAAGTTCCATGGTCTGAGGATCCCCAGGATGGGCAGCTGGACACCCTCTGGACCGTCTTAGACACAGACGAAGATGGCCTCATCAGCTTTCAGGAGTTCCCCTGATTCTTAGTAGGGAATGACGGAATAAGGGCCCTGCAAATATATATATATATATATATATATATATATATTTCTATATGTATATGTATATGTATATGTATATGTATATGTATATGTATATGTATATGTATATGTATATGTATATGTATATGTATATGTATATGTATGTATATGGAAATGTATATGTATATGTATATGTATATGTATATGTATATGTATATGTATGTGTTCGTGTATGTATATGTATATGTATGTGTATGTGTATGTGTATGTGCATGTGTATGTGTATGTGTATGTATATATATGTATGTATATATATATAAACATATATATGTATATGTGTATATATATATATATATACATACACCCTTTAAGGGGTTATATAGGGGCACCTCATTCCCTCATTCTCTATTAAGAACCAGCCGGCAGGAGTTCCTGGACTTTGTTTTCAGCACCGGGGACGTGTCCTTCTTCACGCCCACCGAGCTGGAGATGGTCCGGGAGTTCTCGAGGAGGCGGAAGTCCAGCCGTGAGAGCCTGGAAGCGGCCGCCCTCGCCAGGCCCTTTCTGCTCCCCAGCAAAGCAAGCATCTGCTCCAAGTTCTCCCGAGCTCCCAGTGTCCCGCGTGTGTCCCGATGTGTTTCTGATAGCGGGTTCTTTCGAGAAGGACTCCGACACCCGACACTTCGGCGCCCGAGCCTGACACCTCGGCACTCGAAGAGGCCACAGAACCGCGGATACACGCTGAGTCTCAAATTGGAGCCCGGCGTTCTTGCGGCCTCCCTGGAAGAGGTCGCTCGGCTTCAGAAGCGCGTGGGGGAGCTGGAGGCGGATGCTCAGAAGCGTGAGAAGGCTGGGAGTCTGGGAGGATTTGGGTTCCGTCCCAAAACGCTTGTTTATGTGGCTGACAACGGGGCGTTGAATCATGAGATATAGGTTTTAGCCTAAGCTCGTGACATGTACTGCAACCACAGCATTCCAGATCTTGAATGGGCGTCTGCCTGTGTCATACAACAACTCTCCTGACTTTAAAATCTGTCCGAAAGCGTTGTGGAGCAGCAGTTGTTGTCCTGAGACGCTCGTGCCTGCAGTTGTTTTGCCGATTTGTTTTGCAGCATCCTGTGCCTTGCACTGTGTCTGCCATTGGCCCATCACAGAGCCAAAAAGCACAACACCCAGCGCCTAAAGCCCTCTGAGGACCCACGCATCTCTTAAAACAAAAAACGGTGGGCCCCTTCACCTCCCGATCAGAACATCCCTTTCACCCAACAACTCGCACACGGAAAGCTCAAGGGGGCCTTCAGGGGCAGGGGTGAAACCCCCCTCCCCCCCAACCGCTTACAGCCGGTCCGAAAACCATCTTAAACACGGTCGAAAACAACGGCGTAATCCTGTCAGACATTCCTTGAAACTCCTCCGCAACAGCTCCACATCCAAAGACCAATGTTGGGGAAGGGCGAAGGGCTCCTTAGTCTTTGCACTGGCTCTGTCATGCTTGTCAGCTGTGCCATGCAAACGTGGCCCAAAGGGCTAAAACTGGGGAACATGCGCCCACGTGGCTGCGACACTGCAAAGGGGCTTGTCGGGAAGCTTATCATTGGACATTTGCAGACGCCTCAGGATGCCGATCTTGAGCCATTCTTGCCAGGTCGTGGCGCAGCTTCAGACCAAGCTACAAGCAGCTCGTGAGGAGCTGCACGCTCGACGGAGTCGGACACCTGACCCTTCGGCACCCGAAGAGGCAAGGAAGCACACGCGCAGTGCGCGCGGCAGGCAGTCGCGTGCTGTGCTTCGCTGGGAGAGGTCACTCGACTTCAGAGGCGGGTCGAGGAGCTGGAAGCGGAAGCTCAGAAGCGTGACAAGGCTGGATGCTGCAACAGAACTTGCACAAGCACTTAGTTCCAAATCCCAAACCCTACCAAGCTGAAATCCTTCACAGATTTCCAGCTCCACTTCCAGAATGCTAGCTTTCGTCCGCTTCAAGTAAAGCAGCCACAGAAGCAGAGTGAAACTGCCCCCGGCGGACCCTGTGAATCCCGCAACCTCAGGTTGCCACTGTTGCCAGGTCGTGGCGCAGCTTCAGACCAAGCTACAGGCAGCTCGTGAGGATCAGCATGTTCGAAGTCGGCAAAACAGCAAGGACAAAGCGATGACCCTTATTAGAGGAAGCCTCCTCCCGCACGGGTACCTCCATGACTTCCGCTGCAGGATGCCAGTGCCAGTGAGCCTGCTGGTGGCACGGGGCCAAGCGATGAGCCGCTTAGCAGCAACATCTGTGTGAAAAGAATGAAGCAAAGGTACCAATTAGAACTATCATGGTTGCAATGTGTTCCATTCCGCTTGGTGATCAGAGGATTGTGCAGCTCAAGAAGCAGCTGCATGCAACTCGGAATGCAAGCTTGGCACTCTCGCCCATGCTATGTCCGCCAAGGAATCCTAGTGATGTGGAATGCTTTTGTGGAGGGGTCTGCGGACTGCAGGCAGGCCAAAGGCCGAAGCCCGGGCCAAGAGAGTGATTTTGTCAAAGGGTGTGTGCTTTCAACGCTTGCAAGGGAAGAGGGGCAGAGAGACTTCTCGATATGAAAAGCAAAGCACATAAAGATCCAACCACAACAAGGAACAACATGCCTTTTCCGTAATCGAACACTGAACATCTGCCCCGAGTCAAGGACAAGCAATACTCATTGCAACGGCTGGAGAGCCAGCAGGAGAAGATCGTCGAAGGCGGTCTGATATACATGTTCAGCAGTGTAAGTCTAAGTCTAATCCTGGGAAATTTGCGGTAGAGGCAGCAGCGTGGCTGGCAGGCTACGTTGGCTTCCTTCACTCGCTGATGGAGTCCTCCGCGCCGCATGCTTTCAGAGAAGGGATGCACGTGCTGGTTAGCTGGCACGTCATGGCAAGCTGCATCATGACGCAAGGTCGGAGCAGCTTCAGAATTATTGCGATCTGAAGACGGTGGAGATGCTTGGAAAGGGAGCTTACGGTTTCGTGCCCGTGCTGCAGCTAATACTAAGAGCTGAGGAGGCACCAAGCGAATGATTTCTGGACATCCTGAGGTGCTGACGTGTTTTGACAAGGAGCACACGCAGAAAGTGGTCACGGGCTTGGTGTGAAGCAGGTCCTCGCAGACCTCCCTTATTGTCCCGATGGCCAACTGTCACCTACCTTGATAGCACGAGCGCCCTAAGCTTGCATCTGCATCTCTCCGTTTTCCGTCCCAGCAACTTCCAACTCTCTCAAAGATGATGATGCCGATATGCCTTAAAACTCATGGACACACCTTAGAAGAGCTCATAGAGAAAGCAGGGCACGCAGCAGCACGGCTGTCTGCGAATAAGGACAACGTGGAGTGTCATCTTTGCTTGCCTGTTTTGCAGGATGTGCATCCTGTAGCGGTTTCGAAAGGACCATTGGCAACCACCATCGCAGGAGCGATGAAACGTGCAACCGAAATCCTTGCAGCTTCAAGGTGCCATGGAAAACGACCTGACCAACCTTAGCAGGCCGAGAGCAGGTCTTGCCCAAGTCTTCGCCAGTCGATTCCGGCAGTAGGGTCATCGGCAAAGCAAAAACGAAAGTAGAGAGACTACGATCATGGCACCCAACATGCGAGACTGCGTGGCTTTCAGCAGACGATGTGTGGGGTGCGTGAACAGTTGGATCAGAGGAGTTGCTGGCCCACCTGGACAGTTTTTCTTGAGTCTCCGTTCGCCATGTGATGGAACATTGGCAACAACGAGCAACATACGTGTTTGTTAGTGACTCTGCTTTTGGGCTGCTTTTCTGAGTGACGAATCACCGTGTCTTGACATGTGTAGTCCGTGGGCACTGGCTAGCCCTTAGCTGCATCGCTGTGAAGCCCCAGCTTGCATGCGTTGGCATGAAGCAGTTGCCTTCTCAAGCCTTGGCTGCTCCCACACTCCGTCATGAGGTTGTGAAGCTGCAGAGCCCAAGATGGGCTGCTGTTGCCGCGCAAGAATGGGCTCATGGCCCCTTCGCTCAACTTTGCTCGTGAGAGCTGTGCACTGGGGAGTGTGGACGGTTGCAAAGAGCAGAAGCGAAGCGCCAAGGCTCACAATGTGCCCACGACCACATTGTTTCTCACCTTCAGGCTGGGCCCTGCAGCGACTGTTTTCATGGCCACTGCCTGCTGACTTCAGCAGGTCCTTCTCCACTACGATGGCAAGAGTGAGATGGAAAGCTTCTTGATCCGCACGTCATTTCGCCTTGCAGCCTCATCTGTGCACCACGCTTTTTCCAGGGAAGATCGAGAAAGCCTTCGACGACGGTGTCTTCATAGGGAAGCGGCCGAAGATACTCCCAGACAGACCTGTCCTCGGATTTCCCCGATTCTTGTTCCTTGTGTCCTAGCTCCTCATCCAAAGATGCCTTGCGAAACAAGACAGCGTGCGCTGTGCGGCGGCGGGGGGGGGGGGAGGATGTTCACTCAGGATACGTCTGTATGGTCTTGGAGTACATGGATCGGGGAACAGCGCAGCACTTGTCCAAGGAGGGCCTGCTTGACCTCGAAGGCGCCTTTTCTCGGAAGAGTCAGTGTAGGGCGTAGGGTTTAGGGCCTACTAGCAGTCCTTAATGGGGATGATAATAGGACTAAGACTACTATAGTCACTATTAAGGACTGCTGAACATCCCAACCCAGGGGCTTAAAAATATCTAGCGGGGACTTGGCTTGGAGACACGTCACAGAGCAGTTTGCGTCCCAGCGCCCAATCAGTTCAAGTGGCTCAAGCCTTGGAGTCGAGGCCTGGCAGCCATTGCCCGACAAGTCTCTTCTGCCCTGGCCTTCATCCACAAGAGCTGCTCGGCTCACAGGGAAGTGCTTTCACGAGTACGGCGTAGCTGCGCTCTGGTGAGCGGGTGGGAGGAGGTCGGGTGGCGAAATCAGACAGAAAGGCAAAAAGAAAGCTGTGGAGGTTGCTGCGGCAAGCAGTTGAAAAATTGGTGGAGGGCCTAGGTAGGCCTATAGTGCGTGAGGGCTTTAGATGGAAAGCCTCCAGGCAAGCAAACTCACAACGACATCAAGCCAGAGAACATTCTCTTGCAACGTGGTTGCATCTGCAGGGCCCCACATGGAGCATTTAGAGCATAAGAAAAAAGATGAAAAAAGCTTCCCACGCGGAGTTTGTTTTCTTGTAAGGAGGAAGGCCGCAGCTGGTGACCACCTCGTCGCACCGCGCTCAGCATCGCATCCCATTCCAAAGAATATTTTTAATGTAGCTCGGAGTGGCCGGAAAACGTAGCAGCAGGTGAAGCTCGCAGATTTTGGGCTGGCCCAGTGGTCCGTCGAACGTCAGCGGGATGCCGTCTGGGCCCCCGAGACCTCGAGACTTTTCTCTTCCTGCCTTCGAATCCAACCCTTGTTGGGAGGAGCTGATGGCTTACAGCCTTTGGTGCCTTGGGCTTGACGAGCCGCCGGCCTCTTAAGCTTTGACGCAGAGAGTCACGCGTGGAGCTGAATGCGCTTCTGACTTCACCCTCAGGTTTGAGCACATGCCCTCTAAGCCAGAAAGGCCAGCTGCAGCAGACAGGTTCGAGGGCAAGGCGCTTCTCAAGGATCGACTTACCCTAAAGCCTAAACCCTAAACCTCTGAATCCTCAATCGGACAGCACTGTGCCTGCAGGACTCTCGGCAGGACCTGCGCAGCGCGCTGGCCAAGGCGAAGTCGGAAAGTGATGGCCAAACACTTGCTAGGTGATCTCCCTGTCGACACAACATAAGTATTTCCCAAACTAGGGGTACCCCCTAACATACCCCCAAATACTATAATCCTTACTATAGGAACCCCCCAAAAGGGTACCCCCACTTTCGGAGACCCCCACATCAGCGACAGGCTGTCCGAGATCTTTGGGCTGGTTCGACCGAGATGGCTGTTGTGGCTGCTTCGGAGGACCATGCTGTTCTTCTCTCTGCCAAACCTGAACAGAACTTGAAATCCTGGGCACAGCGGTTGCGGGTTCCTTACGTTCTCTACTCTAAAAACCTGCAGCCGGGCCAGAAAGAGCAGAAAGCAAGCGCTTGGAGTACAGGGACTCGGGCATTTTGCATATCCAGTGACAGAACTTCTCTGAGAGCTTGCATGTGGGCAGCGAAAGTGATGAAAGTGCGAGGTTTGGGTTGGGCGGACTTCTGGAATGTGCAGGGCTGTGGATGTCGGTGAATGTATGGTAACAAAGAGTTGGGGAATGCGAATCAACACATCGGCCGAATCTAGCACCACTTATAAACCCAATGCTCCTTCAGGCAGTAGTAATGAAGAGGTTGCGGACTAGACCCTGAATCGCAAACCCCCCAAGTTCTTCCACTGTAGCGTCCTCAAAAGAAGGGGTATTGAGGATGGATGTTGGTGCTTCGGGAGTGTTGAAGTGAATGCTTGTGATGCTCGCCTGGTCGGCCACTTTTGGGGAAAGGGCCCGGCTGAAGCTGACGCTCATGACTCATGATGCTCGCCTGAGCCAACTGGTTTGGCAAAAGTCTGTTGCGTTGATGCGCGCGGGATGCTCGCCTGGCCAGCTGATGCTCTCGCCCTGCCAGCCGGTTACAGCTGGCTCGTGACTTGTGAGGAAAGGGCCTGCTACAGCTGCAGCTGATGCTTATGATGCTTGCCTTGCCCAAACGACCATGATCATTCGAGCGTAGCAAGGCGCTGCGCTTCCTCCACGCACCCCAGCATCAGCACGGAACTCTTTAGCAAGGAGGCTCCCTGCTTTTGAGCATCATCAGCTATACTCTTCAGGGTCAACGGACCTGGCATACTCAGCGGGACTCTCTGTGGGATTCTCTGTGGGCACTAGGCCAGAGACACCCTGCCACCGAGCATCGCAGGCAAAGCACCGAACCCTTCAGCAAGGAGGCCCTCTGCCACCGAGCTTCACGAGAATCAGTACTGAACCCTTTACCAAGCCGGCAACAAGGAGGCCCCTGCCACCGAGCATCACGAGCATTAGCACCAGACCCTGTAGTAAGGAGACTCTTTCAGCCCCGAAACATTTGTTAAGGAAGCCCCGCCCCCTCATCATGAGCATCAGCGTCAGCTCCTTTACCAGGGAGGCCTCGGGACGGCAAAGCGGAATGGGCCTTTAGGTGCCAGCCCCTTTGCCGGCTGCTCGGGCAAGATTCATGTTGTGTTGCAGCTGAATGGCTCGCCTGGGCAGCCACCTGCTGAGCATCAGGGTTGGCCCGTGAGCACCATGGGCATTTGTGCCGTGCCAGCGCCGGCCAGCAAGCAGAATATCTCATTTATTCGCATTGTATTCGTTAACATGCATGCACATGTTCCACTCGCCGAGAGTGCTCAGCTTCCTTCAGCCCCGCATTTGCTTGCTGAGCTGCGTGTTGCCTTTGGATGCTCATGGGAGGATTTCTGCAACGCGCAGCTTACCATCCACCATGCCAAGCATACGGAGGTAGAGGCAAATGCTAGACAAGACTCTTGGTAGCAAAGAGTTCCGGCAGTTTCAAAGACGTGGAGATTGAGGTATTGAGTTGAGGTCTGAGTTCCTGTGCTGATTTGTGCATTCTCACAGCCTGAGGAGATTCCTCCCAGACTGGAGCGACAAGCCAAGCTTTGGAAAGCAGTGCACATGGCAAACATCGTGAGAAGGTGGAGCCATGCGGACTGCCCGCGCACCGGTTCTTGTTTGCTGCTGAGCACACTCTGTCTGTATCGGTTTCTTGAGGTGTGCTGTGCCATCTCTCTTCTATCTCTCTCCCCCTCTCCTCCTTCCCCTCTCCCCCTCCCCCTCTCCTCCTTCCCCTCTCCTCCTCCCCCTCCCCCTCTCAGTCTCCCCCGCCCCCCTCTGCCCCTCCCCCTCTCCCCCGGTCCCTCTCCCTCTCTCCCTCTTCCTATTGATAATTGATTAGTATTCGATTTGTTCAATAGTAAATACCGGTTACTGTGATTAATATATGCCTGTTAAACTATTCATGAACATAGTCTATGTAAAAATCCTAATATTATGCCGGCGAAGACCCCAAACAGTAAGATTGCAGATCAAGGGAAAGCGGCATGAAGCAATAACGCGACGCGTAGAATTCGGCAGGCCGAGTTCACAATCAGAAAAATTGGGCTCAGTATGGAGGCGTGGGTTTCAGGCTTCTCTTTGGAGCTGCCAGGGGTCGGAACAACCCTTTCCCAATCCAAACGATGGATTGACATGGATGTCCAAGCGCTGCCTACATGCATTTTGCTAAGCCTGAAAAATGCGTTTGGTCTTGCTTTCTACATGCAACGCCATGCTCTCTCTTTCTGTACTTTTTCAAGGCGAAAACAGCTGAGTGCATTTAGGCACGCGCGAAAAATGCAGTTGTGCATTCGCCTCTTTTGTACGCAGCGTGTCTTTACGACGAAAGATCAGCGGTTAACTCAATGTTATTGTGGTTGTGGAAGGAGCAAGCTGCGCGAATGCATTCTGCCCACTTTGAAAAATGCACCTGAGCATGTTCTTCCTGATTCTGGGTCTGTTTCGGTACTCCTGCAAAATGTCGAGCATTGTTCTAAACACGTTTTTCAATTCCTACAGCTTTTATGCACAGAAAACACATCAGAAGAATCGAATACGTCATGAGCCAGCAGAAACCAAGACTAAACATGATAGGAAACCAGTGCCAAATGCATTCTTCGGGCGACGAAAAATGCATTTGGAATGCCCTAGAAATGCATGTCGGGTAGATGTTGGTCGTAAAACACCAATCTGTTTTTTTTTGTTGTTTTCGTTTGTTTTTCAAGCTGTAATGGAGCAAACCGAATAGAATGGAAGACCAGATGCTGCCGAATGCATTTTGCCAGGCCTGAACAACGCATTTGGTCTTGCTTTCCACATGTGCAACGCCGCGTGCTCTTTCTGCACTTTTTCAAAGCGAAAACAGCTGAATGCATTTGGGCACAGGCAAAAAATGCATTCGGACTTTGGTTTCTTCCGTACGGGGCCTCTGTCTTTGACACAAAAGTCAGCTATCAAGCGAGTTTTTTATTGTGGTTTTGGAAGGAGCAAGCTGCGCGAATGCATTTTTGCCTGCCTCGCAAAAATGCATCTGGGCATGTTGCTTCTGATTTTAGGCCCCTTTTCGGGAATTTTGCGAAACGGTGATTATGGTTCTAAACGCGTTCAAATCCTATTTATAGATGTTCTTATGCGCAGAAAGACATGAAATTTCAGCGGCAGAACCCAAGATTGCAACATGATAGGAAACCAGTGCCAAATGCGTTTTCGGGCGACGAAGAATGCATGTGGAATGCCCTCAGA